CGAAGGTTTTAGAGCGGGGCTTTGTTTGATATGAGGTATATTATCGGTATTGCATTGTTTTGAGCAGTTACTGTGATTTGAAATTTTTTTCTATGAGTATTTGAGTTATGTGGTACATCATGTGATTACCTCTTGGGTTATAGATATGGCTTGATACATCTTCTTTAGATTTATACAATGTGTAGATGCGAGAATCTGATCTTATAGAAATTGTGGATGTTGGAAATTGGATTCTAAGGTTTATGGGCTAGGTTGAATTAAGAACTACAGTTATGTTGTCTTTTCAGGCCTATATGGGATAGGGTGACGTGAGATCACCCCCAGGTATGTGCATGGTAAGGTTATACGGCGGTTTGATGGCTTTGAGAACAATTCTGGACACGTTCGAGGACGAACGTATGTTTAAGTGGGGGAGGATGTAACGACCCGACCGGTCATTTTGAGCATTTGCACTTCGCTCGGTAGTTTACGGGTGTGAGTAGCTCCATATGATATATTTTGACTTGTGTGAATCGTCGGTTTTGGTTTTCAGGTTACTCAGGGCTGATTTGAAAGAATAATTCTCAACTAGGGAGCTTTAAATTTGAAAGAGTTGACCAAATTCGACTTTTTAGCATTTGACCTCGGATTAGAATTTTGATGGTTTCGTTAGCTCCATTGGGTGATTTTGGACTTAGGAGCGCGTTCGGATTGTGATTTGGAAGTATGTGGTTGAATTTGGCTTGAAATGGCGAAAGTTGAAATTTTGGAAAGTTTGACCTGGAGTGGACTTTCTGATATCGGGGTCGGATTCCGATTTCGGAAGTTGGAGCAGGTCCGTAATGTTGAATATGACTTGTGTGAAAAATTTGAGGTCAATCGGACGTGATTTGATAGGTTTCAGCATCGGTTGTGGAAGTTTGATATTTCAAAGTTTATTGATTTCGAATTGAGGTGTGATTTGTCCTTCCAATATTGTTATGTGTGTTTTGAGGCCTCCAGTAGGTCCGTGTTATGTTATGGGACTTGTTAGTATGTTTGGACGGGGTCCCGAGGGGATCGGGCATGTTTCGGATTGATTTTGGATCATTTTTCTTCATTTTGGTACTGCTGTGTTCTGCTGTTTTTCTGGTGTCTTAGTTCTTCATCGTGTTCACGTGGCAAGTGTCGCGAACGCGTAGTGTATTTTGACGGCAGCAGCAAATTACTCTTCGCGATCACAAAGTATGTCCCACATTCGGGTAGAGTTGGGGCAAGTCTTTTTCGTGTTCGCTCATAAAGGATCGCATTCGCGTAGTGTTGAGGTTTGCCAACTGGAGCTAGGGAATCCTTCATCGCGGTCACGTAATATGAGTCGCGTTTGCGAAGCTTTGGCAGCAGTGGTCATCGCGTTTGCGTGGGGTACATCGCGAACGCGTAGAGTCTTTTGTGGTAGTGTGCATTTTGTTCATCGCGAATGCGATGGTTTTCCCGCGTTCGCGAAAGAGGACATCTTGGCAGTGTATATAGTGCTCTATTTCGAAGGTTTTAGATATTTTTATATTTTTTGGAGCTAGGGAGCTCAGATTGAGGCGATTCTTGAAGCAAGTTTTTACCATATGAATTGGGGTAAGTGTTCTCTACTCGATTTTGGTTATATTTCATGAATCTATCTTCGTTTTTGGTAATGGGATTGTGAATTTTAAAGAGGAAAATGGGGGTTTTGGCCTAAAGTTTCATAATGTGAATTTTTGAGTTTTGAACATCGAATTGGAGTCGGATTTGAGTGAAACTAGTGTGGTTGGACTCGTAATTGAATGAGTTGTTGGATTTTGTAAATTTTGTCGGGTTCTGAGGTGCGGGCCAGGGTTGGATATTTTTGGCCGGTTTTGGGCATTTTGATTCAAGATTTGATCTTTTTCGATCGGGATTGGTTCCTTTAGCATTGTTTGATGTACTTGAGTTGTTTTTGGTTAGTTTCGAGACGTTCGAAGGTCGGAACGCGGGGGATGTCATCTTTGGAGCATTGTTTGCTTGCTTGGCATTGGTATTGGCTTGTTGAGGTAAGTAACTCTTCTAATCTTAGTGCTGAGGGTATGAAACCCCGAAATACGTGTTATGTGATTGGTATTGAGGTGACGCACATGCTACGTGACAGGCGTGTGGGCGTGCACCATGTGAATTGGAACTCTGTTGTTTCTATGGCATTGTATAGTGGTCCTACTTTGTTGAAATCTGTGTTTTCACCATATGATAAAGTAGTTAAGCTGTCACTCATGCTAGATATCATGTTTAGGAATTATGTCGATATTGTTTGGACCCATAGTGGTCGTTTCTTACTGTCATCTCACCGATTTCATTGATATTTCGTACTCAGTCATATGCATGCATTCATATCATATCTCAGTCTCAGTTGTTATTTATTGATACATCATATCATTGTTGTCGGGCTAGTTTCATGACACTGTGAGCCCGTGAGTGAGACTAGAGAGATTGATGACTCAGTGAGGCAGATAGCCTGATTATGAGTGACAGTTATGGGATCGGGCTACACGTCGCAGTATGATATATTGATTTATGCCTGGATCTGGCTTACGATAGAGCTTGGGCTGTAGGAGCCCTTTCGGAGTCTGTACACACCCCCAGTGAGCGCGGTTGATTATATTTAGGGATGGATCTTTCCTGGATATGGATCTTGTCCGAAGCATTTATATACCTGGAGATGGATCTTCTCCATGGGGCCGGATTGGCCTTCCTCGGTACTGAGAGACTGATGGTCAGTGATGTATATATTCCGGGATAGATTTTCTCTGGGTCGTATGGGCCATATACAGTACCGAGTGGTTGAGCATGATGAGTGGAAAGTTTGAGACAGTGAGATTGGGTACTCTGAGAGTGTGAGTACAAGATTTATCTCTGAGATACATGGAATTGGCATGCACACATGACATACAGGCATAGAGATGCATTTTTTCTCATGTTGTACGGTATCCGGTCATTCATGACTTTTTACACACATTGATATATGGGCATAGAGAGGTATTTCGCACTTGCTATCTGGAAAGAAAATAAAATATTTTATTTATTGTGGAAATGATATTTGAAAAAATTACAGTTTTCAAACTTACTCATATTTTTGTCATTTTCGGTAAAAGATTTGGGTTTTCACTAAGACACTTGAAAAGCATGACTATTTTGTGGAACTGTGAATGAGCTGAGCATTTTTACTTCTGAGATACATCTCTTATTACTTGTATTATGGTATTATGAACTATTGTGGAATATTGGTATTGTACCCGACCTTGTGTTAGCTTGTCACAACTTTCAAACTAAGGTTAGGTTTGTTACTTATTGAGTACATGGGGTCGGTTGTATCATATTACACTTCTGCACATTGCGTGCAGATGTTGGCTGTTAGTGTTGCTGTGTTCGATGGGACCTGGATTGAAGATGTACCAGCGTCCCGGCTATAGCTGCCTCTTGTTCGTGGTAGCTTTAGATCTGTAAAACTCTGTTTATGTACTATTCAAACAGATTTGTAAACTCTATTCTTAGAAGCTCATGATTTGTACTACCAGTTCTTCGGGAAAGAATAAGATTCAGATAATTTTTTTACTTAATTACTTTATTTATTGTTATTGGAATTAGTTAATGGTTAATTGGCTTACCTAGTGGGTGGGGTTAGGTGCCATCACGACTAGTTGGATTTTGGATCGTAACAAGTCGGTATTGTTATATGTATGCTCGGTGAGAAATAGATAAATGTACGAAGGATGTTGCCGTGCCAATTGTGTGTGTGTGTGTGTGTGTATATATATATATATATATATATGTCCTCCAGCTTTGTTGGTGCTGTGGGTGTCAGTGCATGCCTTTCGCCTTGCCTCACTCGTTAACCTTGCTCGATCCAATAGCCCAATCCTAGCCCACTCACCTTTCTCCAAGATTGGAGTCCTAAAATCTTAATGAAAAGGAGCTTGGCACCGATGTGTTCGAGAGGTAGAAAATGACCGCTGTGGCGGGGTTTACCAGATAGGTATAATTCAACGGGACCCTATCCCGTCCTGTGGTCCTAAACAAAGGCTCCATCCTAAAAATAAAAGAGAGCCTTCACNTAATAATCTTTTTTTTTTGCCTCGCATAGTTGTTTCATTGTACCCTTATCGGTTATGTTCTATAATTGTTTTATTGTTAGTATACTGCACAGGTTATAACAGTGAGTATCATTTTACTAAGAATTCTTATCACTACTTCAACGGGGTTAGACAAAATACTTACGGAGTACATAGGGTCGATTGTACTCATATTACACTTCGACACCTTATGTGCAGATTTTTGATGGTGATGTTGTGGTGTATGGCGGGAGCTGGCATTGAAGATGTTTTCGCAATCCGACCATAGCTGCCTCTTGTTCTTGGTAGCTTTAGAATTATTAATCTGTTCATGTATATTTCAAAAGATGAGGTATTTTATTTCATATCAGCTTGCAAATTCTAAATCTTAGAAGTTTATGATTTGTACTACCAGTCCTTGAGAAAAATAGAAAGGTTCAGTTATTTTATCATTTATTTTCCTCGATAAACCTAATTAAATTGGATTGTAGTTAATTGGCTTACCTAACGGATTGGGTTAGGTGTCATCACAACTGGTCAGACTTTGGGTCGTAATAATATATGTATAACTTTGTATAATTAATGTATAATCTATACATACTGATTAGAGAAAGTAAATATTAAATTTGGCCGGCTCTATGTGTAACAATCCCGGAAAAGAAGAAGCTATAGGATAGCAATTTTGTTGAACGGTTGGGATGATTTTCATTGGTGGACCGCCAACTAGAGAATCAGGCAGTTCAATCTCATTTTCTCAAAATAACTGCCTGAAAAATTCCAATATTGTAATTAAAGCTTCACATTTATACCCTCTTTTAACATTTATTTTACATTGCAGCTACCTGTCTGATCACACTACTTATTATTTGTTCATTGGCCTATATCATTTGCCTATATATACTCTCAAACTGGCATTTCCATATACCATATTCTCTCATTTCCACATAAAGAAAGACAGAATAATAGACTTTCTTGATTTTCTCTGTGTTAACTTAGTGTTAAAATGGGAAGGTCCAAGTGCTGTGATAAACAAGGTTTGAAGAAAGGGCCATGGACACCAGAAGAAGACCGAAAACTCTTGTCTTGCATTGTGGAAAATGGTTGTGGTAGCTGGCGTGCTTTGCCTGCTAAAGCTGGTAATAATATTAGTAACTATTATTTACACAAATAGCCGGTTAGATTTATTACTATTTATTTTTTCTAGCTGGCGTACATAGATTATACACTGACTATATATACATGGTTATACATCCATATATCATACATAGATTATGCGTAGATTATATGTCTTCCGCTATTCTTAGTTTCAGCGGTTGGATGCTCTGCCACGTTATCGCAAGGGGTGTCAACTGACACACCTTCGTGGACAAAATATACTGCGTAGATAGGTTTAATATATATATATATATATATATATATATATATACACACACACACACATACATACATACATACATATATATTATATGTTGACTCCCCTTGATTTTTTTGTATGTTTACATTTATATATTTTGACACCTCTTAATGAAAATCCTGTCTAGCTCCGCCATTAGTTGGGTGCGACTATTATGTTAATTCTTTTAATATTTTAAATTGTGTGATCAGACATTATATTGTATACTTTTATTCAAGTATGAGTCTGTTTCTTTTTTATAGTCAAACATGTAATTCTTTTATATAATTTTATAATGTGTGGTCACCAAGAGTTGAAGAATTGCGTGATCATTTCGTCTAAGAGTTTAAGCTGTTAAAGAGTACACTATATTTACTTAATTATCTTTTCGATTGCTAGCATATATAATTTTGACTTTTTTCCCTTTTTAGATCTGCAGAGGTGTGGGAAGAGTTGCAGGCTTAGATGGATCAATTATCTAAGGCCAGATATCAAGAGAGGAAAGTTCAGTTTACAAGAAGAAAGAACTATAATTCAGCTTCATGCTCTTCTTGGAAACAGGTAATAATTTATTGAAGGACAGTAAATTAAAAAAATGACAGCAAATGATAGAACTCATTATTTTCTGCCATTAGGTTGGGGTCATAAATTGTTAGTTACCTTTGCCTTTGTCACATTCTTTCCCATAGTCACTGTTTTCTTCTCTTTTACTATGCAACCAATAGGCATGATGCAACTAATAGGGTTAATGCTCCTTTTTTCATGGACCAAACCAATGAAAAAATTTAAACAGTAATTCTCCGTCCATAAGTAACTTTTTGGCATTATTATTTTGATTCAAAATAAATATCCTTTTAAATAATCAAGAATGANCGTTGCAAACCTTAGTCATATGGCAGAGTGGGAGAGTGCAAGACTTGAAGCAGAAGCAAGACTTGTTCGTAGATCCAAAGATCACTCTAAATTCCTCTTCAATAATACTCGCAACAACAACAACAACAACAATAACTACGTCGTTTCGCAACCTTATTATCAACTTCCTTGTCTTGACATATTAAAAGCATGGCAAAGAGCAAGCACAAAATTACCAACAACAAATGACATTAGTTCTATTCTTCTTGATGGTTTTGCTAACAAAAACCTCGAATCATCGATACCATCAACGTTAAATTCCTCGGGGAATTTGTTCATGAACAATGTACCAAGTATTACAAAAGTTGATGACCAAAATCTTCCTTTGTGTACAATCACTTGTTTGGAAAATCCTTGCCCAACAAAAGATGTCCAAACAGACCTTCCAAGTTTTATGCAAGAGTTCTCAGAGCTATTTGATCCTGAATATACACAAAATTCAACAAATAATTTTAATGGAATACAAGTGGATAATTTTATGGGAAGCTGCTCAGGGGATTTTGAAGATAACAAGTTTAATTGGAACAACTTTCCTTATTTGGTCACTTCACCAATTGGTTCTCCAGTATTCTGAAGAGTTCATATGTTGCTACGTACTACTACGGAGATATTAGGGTCAGTTGCTAAAATAAACGGGATAGGAGGATCGACATGTTCAGATAATTCCGAAGAAAGATTGTCGGTTGATATTTTTCTATTGCTTTGAGTTTAGCTGAGTTTTTTATAGTGATTATTATGATAACACTTTAGATATGTATTTGTATTCAAGATTTGTATCGCTAGTTCCTTATTAGCATGAAGTTTACTTTATGAAATGATTGATTAAAACCATGTAGCCTTTTTTATAGTAATAGCGTAGCATCCTTTGTTTTCTTAGGTCAATATTTCTCCTATAGGTATTTGTTTACTATACATGTTTATCAAGTTTGTTTACTCTCCCCGCACTGCTGCACCCCTCTCTCGTCTACTATTTGCATATGATCTAGTATTATTGGTTGAAGCGGATACTCACAATGCACACACCATCAATAACATCTTCCACCGGTTAAGTATCAAATTCGGGCTCCGAATCAATTTTAATAAGTCTAAATTATCCTTCTCAAGCAACTGTACCTCCTACAACTCAACAAATCCTCTCTTACATACTAAATAGGTTTCCTTATTAATAAATATCAAAATACCTACTCTAACACGGGTAGTACCAAGGACACTTATATTTGGAAAAGCCTAATGAAAGTAGCAAACCTATGTCGCAAAGAAATTAGTTGGAACATTGTTAATGACAGAAGTATCAATCTATGGCACGACCACTGGATCACACCCAACTTATCTCTCCGTCAACTTATCCATGGTCCACTCCTACCCACAAACGCATCTCTTTCCTTGAATCATATTATTATATAGGAACCACTCTTGGGCTCTTGAAAATCTTACGATCGAACTGCCGCCCGGTATCGTCTACTTAATCAACCATACATTCATTTTCCCTCCTCCGGCTACACACGACACCCCTTACTGGAATGTCACACTACATGGTGAGTTTACCACCGCCTCCACTTTTTCAATTATATTACCTAAAATCAAATATTTTCTCTCGCTTGTTATGCACAACTCACTACCCACCTCCTACACCCTCTACAAACGGCGGATCACCCCGTCCATGAGCTGCTCACTATGCAATTACCACACTGAAAACATCACTCATATCTTTTTTTCTGCAAACCTACTATACAAATTTGGAAATACTTCCACATCTCTCCACCAACAGTGGATTTTCCCACATGGATACGCACTAAATGTACCATCACTACACACATAAAGATCAACACTCAATTCACTCTACCCACACATATACTCATCCCACTAATACTTTGGCAATTATGGCTTACTCGAAATCACAACTATTTTCACTGCTCCTTCAAGCCCATAAACCCGTGTATCATCATAAACCTTGCCACGGAACAATATTTTCTCACTTCCACCCCCACTTGATCACCTCGTACACTTATTCCTATCAAGTGGAAAGCTCCGCCCCCATCACACATTAAACTAAATATAGATGGCACCTTCGACAACATCAGTTGGACATGAGGATAAGATGGAGTATTTCGAGACTCCACTGGTGCTTGGCTTCATGGATATACAAAATACTTGCATCACACGGACGCCTTGCATGAAGAAATCGTCGCTCTCTTCCATAGTCTACGCATTGTTATTACTCATAATTATCAACATTTGATAGTGGAAACCGACTCACATGTATTAATTTCACTTCTACCACTAGGGAACAGAAAATACTTAACTATTTTACATGGTTGCAGGTCAATGCTACTTGAACTACAAGTGCCCAAGCTCCACCACATCTTCAGGGAGGGTAATGGCATGACAGATGCTTTGGCAAAATATGGCAAACAGCTACACCTTCACCACCATCCAGATGCATTACTTTTTGAAACCCCCCCCCCCCCCCATTTTATTTTCTCGTCGTTAGATTTTGATGTAACATGAGATGTTGTAGGCTTTTAAGCTTAGTTTAGCTTAAAAGAGGGTGAATGGAAAATGGAGAAAAAAATAAAAATTTGATTTTCCCTCCTTGACAAAGGGATATTGTTCCATATTGGAGGAGGAAAAGACTTTTGATGGGTATATATACAATTGCTCTTCTTCTAACTCTTAAAGATGTCAAGCCTCGCGCCGTCGTCGTCGTCGCTCGGCTTCGGCTTCGTTCAAATGATTGATTGATTAATATTTTGGACTAAATTTATTTGTTAATATTAAAATTAACGTAATATTATTTTAATCCAAATTAGTCATTTTTATAATGATAAATTAATTTTCCTCCGCGTTTTGATTTTCCATATTATTCTGCGTAAATAGCCATTTACATAATGGTCATTTTACATGAACGGTCATAACAGACATTCTGAAGAGTTGTACCTCTTCGTTTAAACTCAACATGTTGGTTATAAATAGCAGACCATTCCCTCAGATTTTCCTTAGATATATTTCTGAATTCTCATCTTCCTTTCTGCATTGTTTTCTTATGAAACAAACAACGGAAGTGTGATTTGCTGCCGCCATTTATGTTCGTTGAAACACTGGGTTTGAAGTGCCGCTACACTAGTGTGTAATCCGTTCTATCCTGGGAGGAAATACTCCATAACCTCGAGTACTAGGAGGGGATTAAGTTCCTTAAGGAAACACTGCGAATTCATTGGGCTCAGATTAAATTCTATTTCTTCAACATTTCTATTTATACGTTATTTTTCCTTCTCCATAATTATTTTACAAATACAGTATTCTAACAAGATTAAGGAACTTAATTTTATATATTGTAATTGTGTTATACATACTGTTCTGGAGACTAAAACCTGTGTGGTTTTCTACTCCCGTTTTGGAAATTAAAGCCTTCATAATTTTCTACTCCATTTGTTTACTTTAACGTATATTCTGTTTTGGTTTACTATATGTTATTTGGAGATTAAAATCCTAGCGATTTTCTACTCCATTGGAGATTAAAATCTATGTGATTTTCTACTCCAGTTTTATTCGATTTATTAAAAACTTCGTCGTATATTAAAAGTTCAGTTTATGTCATTCTTTTACAGAAATGACGACTAAGAACGGAAACAAGGTTGTTCCTATGGTGACTGCCAATGCATCAACAAGCCGAACAACACCGGCATTGGCACCGGTGATGGTAGGCTATAATCTCGTATTTTAGTCGCTTATTACACTCTAATTCACTGCACTTTACTTATGTTAAGCTTTAATTGGTAGTATTTTTGCACTTATTGTGTGTTTTATGCCTTAGAGGAGTATTTCCGAGTTATGTAGATATTGTGGAGTTAATTCAAGCTATTTGGAGCTTTGAAATCTGAGTAGAAGCCTAAGCAATTAAGTCGGGATCACGTTCAGGGGTCTAAAACCAAGTCTAGATGTCAAAAAATTAAAAAACCCATTTCTGGCCACAATTTGCAATACCGCCCCGCGGCATGCCCCGCGGGGCGCTAGTGCAAAAAGTGGCCAGAAATCATATTTTGGCACGTTTTGGAATTTCCTACATGCGCGTCGCGATAGCCCAAAAAGGTTAGAGTGACTTCCCAATTCCGCTAAAAAAGGTAATTTCGTCCGGGGATTATTGGGGAATGGCTTAAATATACGGGAAATCACCATTTTCGGCACTTTTCACACATTTTCGACGTAAGGAGGCTAAGGAGGAGTTGGAAGAACACAAGCACAAGGATTTCATCATTTCTTCCTCACTCAAGATCCGGGTTTAGATTGAATTTATGTTATCCTATACTTTAGTTATATTTGTGAAGAACTTCTCCATGTCTATGGAGTAGATCCTTTTGTGTTTTGATGGATTTGGTGTATTGATGATTGTTTGTGGATTATAACTCTATTTTTATGTATTTGAATCGTTTTTGGAAGATTTAATTATTGCATCTATATTCACTTGTTCTTGTAATCGAAAAAGGCATAACTTGTGATATCTTTGCATTATATTATTGGTTGAGTTCATAGATTCTTCTAAGTAATCGAAAGAGGCTAGTTGAATCATTGATTAAATCTAGTTAGGAAACTAACTGAAAGAGGTTTTCTTAAAGACCGATCCACTACGCATTCTTGCATATCTTCATAGTATTTAAATTGGTCATCTCGTGAGTATAAGACTTAATCGAGAGAGGAGTTTTTGCTGAACGTTTGAACTAATAATAGAGTGAATTTGAGAGAATCACTTGAACATTGGAAATGAATTATCTAGAGTTAGATCCCAAACAATTATCTTGCGCTTATTTTGTCAAAACCCTATCCTCTTTCACTGATAACTTTATTTGCTTCTTTCTTGTTTCGATAGTCACTTGTCAATAGCTGTAGATTTAGATTCTTAGTTAAATTTTATTATTAATCATATAAATCTCAACTGTTGATTCTCCTGGATAGCAATCAAGCTAGAAACTATGAGAATACTATTTAAATTCAATCCCTGTGGACATGATATTAAACTATACTATCTTTGACTAGCTAGCACAATTTAAGTGTGTGTGTTTTGCGCTCGTCAAATTTTGGCGTCGTTGCCGGGGATTGGAAATCAATAGTGTTTGAAATAGTTTGTAGTGCTAATTCAGGAATTAGCTTCTAATTTTTTCTTTTATTTTTATTTTTGTTTGGTGAACTTCTCTTCAAGATTTCTTTTGTTAAAGAAATCTTGAAGAGCATATTATTGATATTGAACTCTAAAAGATGTGAAGATGGAGTACAACCAACCTGAGAAAATAATTGAAGAGTTAGCAGTTGAATATTATCAGCAGCATGCTATGTGTTTTAAATGCGGTAGAAATCATCCATGGGTTGATTGTCAAGCAGGTAGATATTCTTCCTATGGTTCATCTTTCAAACATTCTCACTTTGTCTCTAGTCCGTATAGGTATGAGGATTCATATGGGCGCAATTCTGACTCTGGTTGGGATGAATACCCTTATTATGACTGGAATGCAAGCGAAGTGTGACTACCACCTCAAGCGCAGAATGTTAGTTTAGAAGAGTTTATGTATAAGTTCATTAATA